CTCTCTCTCTACATTCTCTCTCCTCATCTCTCTCTCTGCTCTTTTTTTTTTTTTTTTTTTTTTTACACAGGGTTTGACAAGGTTAAGGGATCCCTAGCTTTATGATAAGCTATTTACAGGTAAGGATTCCAAACTCTATTGGCAAGCTAAGAGCTGTTACTTACATCAGCTCATTTTTGAAAGCATTTTTATTGTTATGAGACAATACAAGTAGGGAACAGATGAAGTTGGAGCCATCAGTGGGCCAGCATTTTCATTGATCAACTGACGTTATCTCCGTTGACATCATAAATGCAGTACGAATGTGTTCCATACTCGAGTCATCCTGGGTATGTAATGATCTCAGATTGGAAGTGATGTTTCTGGAGAAGGGTACAAGCCAGAGTGAAGTTGCTGCTTTCCTGCCCGTCTTTGTTGGATAAAAGCTGTTCACCTGTTCCTCTTGAAAAGTGGATCCAAGTGTGGTACATTGACAATATAGGCCTTGTACATAACAGTAAGGCCACCCACATCCCTCCTATGTTGAAGGCACTTCTGCTGAAATGACAGATCTATCCAGGATGGGTCCAGCGAGAGAATGATACGCTTGCTCTGATTCTCTACTCTGACAAGCAGTCGCAGATGAGAGGGGGGGCAGGCAACCAAGAAAGTGGAGCATACTCAAGGTGTTGAGCGTACTGTTATGCCTCGTACAGGATCTTGGCAACCCCTCTTCTCTCACTCTCTCTACACTCCTCTCTCCTCTCTCACATCCTGCCTCTCTCTCTCTCTACATCCCTCTCCTCTCTCTACATTCTCTCATCATCTCTCTCTACATTCTCTCTCTCCCCCTTCTCCCTCCCCTTCCCCCCTCTCTCACTGTCTCTCTCCATCTCTCCTCTCTACATTCTCTCTCTCTCTCCTCTACATTCTCTCTCTCTCTCTCTCTCAATCTCTCTCTCTCTCTACATTCCCTCTCTCTCTCTCTCTCTACATTCCTCACTCTCTCCTCCCTCTGTCTCCTCTCTCCTCTCTTAACTCTCTCTCTCTCCCTCTCCCTCTCTCTCTCTACATTCTCTCTCCTCTTACATTCTCCTCTCTCTCTCTCTCCCCCCCCCCCTCTCTCTCTACATTCTCCCTCTCTCTCTCTCTACATTCTCTCTCTCTCTCTCTCTCTCTACTTCTCCTCTCTCTCTCTACATTCTCTCTCATCTCTCCTACATTCTCTCTCTCTCTCTCCCCTCTACATTCTCTCTCTCTCCTCCTCTCTCCCTCTACATTCTCTCTTCTCTCTCAACATTCTCTCACTCTCTCTCTCTCATAACATTCTCTCTATCACATTCTCTCTCTCTCTCTTCTCCTGTCTCTATATATATACATTCCGTCTCTCTCTCTCTCTACATTCTCTCTCTCTCTCTACATTCTCTCTCTCTTCTACATTTCTCTCTCCTCTACTTCTCTCTCTCTCACTCACTTCTCCTCACTCTCTCCTCTCTCTCTCTCTCTCTCTAACATTCCTACTCCTCTTCCCTCCTCACTCTCGCTCTCCTCTCTCATCTCTCTCTCTACATTCTCTCCTCTCTCTCTCTCTCCTACTACTAACATTCTCTCTCTCTCTCAACATTCATTCCTCCCTCTCTCTCTCACATTCATTCTCTCTCTCTCTACATTCTCTCTCTCACTCTCACAATTCTCTCTCTCTCGTCTCCTCTCTCTCTCTCTCTCTCTCTCTACATTCTCCTCTCTCTACATTCTCTCTCTCTTTTCTCTACATTCTCTCTTTTATCTTTTCTACTTCTCTCTCTTTTTCTACATTCTCTCCTCTCTCTTTCTCTTTCCCCTCTCTCTCTTTTCTACATTCTCTCCCCTCTCCTACTAATTCTCTCTCTCTCTCTCTCTCTCTCTCTCTCTCTCTTCTACATTTCTTCTTTCTCTTCTCTCTCTCTCAAAACCTTTCTCTTCTCCTCTCTCTATATTCTTCTCTTCTTTTGTCTCTACATTCTCTTCTCTTCTCTACATTTCTCTAAATCTCTTCTCTATCTACATTCTTTTCTTTCTCTTCTCTCTACATTCTCTCTCTCTCTCTTCTCTCTCTCTCTCTACATTTCTCTCTTTTCTCTCCCCTCTCTCTCTCTCTACAATTCTCTCTCTCTCTACATTCTCTCTCTCTCTCTCTACATTCTCTCTCTCTCTCTACATTTCTCTCTCTCTCTCTTACATTCTTCTCTCTTCTCATCTCTTCTACATTCTCTCTCTCTCTCTCTACTTCTCTCTCTCTCCCCTTTTACATTTCTCTCTCTCTCTCTCTACATTATCTCTCTCTCTCTCTACATTTCTCTCTCTCTCCCCTACTTTCTCTCTCTCTCTATCTTCTGTCTCTCTCTCTAACATTCCTTCTCTCTCTCTACTTCTCTATCTCTCTCTATACATTCCTCTCTCTCCTCTACATTCTCTCTCTCTACATTCTTTTCTCTCTGTACATTCCCCCTCTCTCTCTACATTCTCTCTCTCTCTCTCTTCTCTCTCTATATTTCTCTCTTCTCTTACTATTTTCTCTCTCTAATTCTCTCTCTCTCCATTTTTCTCTCTCTCTACATTCTCTCTCTACTTTTTCTCTTATATATCCTATATACAGTTTCTGTCAAAAAGTCGGCGTCTGCCACTGGCCACGGGGACTTAATACACACTTATTGTCCTACACAAAAAATTTCCCCCTTTGCCCTTGGAGGCAAAGAGGGGAATGTTTTGAGAGTATAGTTTTACCAACGCTCTTATATGGGTGTGAAGCATGGGTGATAAATGTTGCAGCGGGGAGAAGGCTGGAGGCGTGGAGATGTCATGTCTGAGGGCAATGTGTGGTGGTGAATATACGGCAGAGAAATTCGTAGTTTGGAGTTTAGGAGGAGGTGCGGGATTACCAAAACTGTTGTCCAGAGGGCTGAGGAAGGGTTGTTGTGGTGGTTCGGGAACATGAAGAGAAGAAGGAGCAAAACGAATGACTTCAAGAGTGTATCAGTCTGTATTGGAAGGAAGGCGGGGTAGGGGTCGGCCTAGGAACAGCGTTGAGGGAGGGGTAAAAGGAGGTTTTGTGTGCGAAGGGGCTTGGACTTCAGCATGTATGTCGTGAGCGTTGTTTGAAATAGGAAGTGAATGGAGACAATGGGAGAGAGAGAGAGAGCGAGCGTGACGAGCGTGTGAGAGGGAGTGTGAGCAAAGTTACAGGGTATGGTAGGGGTTGCTTGGGAAATGCGTGCTGGGGGGCGGGGGGGGGGGCGGACTTGAGTCCCTGGAGATTGGGAAGTACAGTGCCTGCACAATCTGAAGGAGGGGTGTTAATGTTGCAGTTTAAAAACTGTAGTATATCTACAGCGACCCTTCTGTGCGCGCGCGCATGAGTGGAGTGAATGATGGTGAAAGTTTTTTCTTTTTCGGCGCCAGCCGTGGGGGAATCGGCCAGTGTGGGATAACACACATGCAAAAAATAATACATATACACAGCATTAAACTCAATACTATTCCATCTGGCGATGGTCTGAGAGGGTATCAATTTCGGAACAAGCACAAAGGCATCGCACTAGGCACAAAACACTGACATCCCCGTTCCTCGACAAATTGCGAGAAAATGTGGAGGAGGTGGGGGGGCAATAGGGGCGCGGGGCGGGGTGATGAGAATTAGAGGAATGTTAAGCTAGAGTCTAGTGCGTGGTTTTTATGTGTTTGAGATAGCGGTTTGTTGGGGGGTAGAGGTGTCGATGATAGAATGTTATTAGTGAATATTAATATGAATTAAAATTAAATTTGTTATTATTAGACAAAATTGGGGTATTTATAAAGATCTAGTTTGAATGGTTTTAGAACTTTACAAATGTTTGTTTGTATCACTAATTGTAACTACCTCATTATTATGTCCTCTGGAAGAGTTAGCTGGTTAATCTAAAATATGGTACGATTGGATTTTATCAAATTGATTGTAGTATAAATTTGTTACTACCTCCCACATTAATAATAACTGAAAAATTGAATATTTGTATCAACCCTTAAAAACTTAAATACGAACTTAAAAATGTAAGACTATCAAATTGTTCTCTCAGTCAGAGTAATATTAGATGGTAGTGTGGGTCTCTATAGGATTTCTTGCTACGATTCACCATGTTCTAGACTGGTATATATTCTACTTGTTTAGTGCCTATAATGCCTCAGCATGAGTTTGCTCTCTGTGGCTGGAAGTGCGACTGTTGGATATGGGGGGGTTGTGGGGGGGGGTGGGGATGATATGGGATTCAGGAGGGTGATTGGGTTGAGTGGGTTGGGACAGAGGGGTGCTGATTGTAGTTTAGTTGAGAGAGTTGATGTTGTGGTGTAGCGTTTGGAATATTTGATATGGTTGGAAATTATTTGGATTTTTGTGGAAATTTAGTTTGTGGATATGATTCATACAGTAATGGAGGAAGTCTATCTATCTTGGATGAGCGGCAGAAAAGAGTGTTTTTATGGGGTGGAAAGGATTAGATTGTAATGGATTAGAGGTGGGTGAAGGAGGGGTATAGGTGTTTTTGGTTTTGGGTGTTTTGGGAGGGGGTGGTGGGGTAGTATTGGAAGGGGGGATGGGGTGGTGGGGTGAGGTTTGGGGGTTAGTTATGATGGGTGGCGTTTGGGGAGTGGATGGTTGGATAGTGTGTGTTTGTATAGAGGGTTGGGGAAAGTGAGAATTGTGATGGTTGGGGATAAATGAGGGTATGGGAGAGGTCTGTTAGTTGGGGGATTGACTATAAGTTGATTATGATGTATAGAGTGGTAGGGGGATTTAGGATTGTTTTCAGGGAAAGGATAGGAATGTGGTTGTTAAATGTGGAATTGTGATTTGGTTATGATTTGTTTAGTTGTTTGTGAGATGGTTATGGTTAGGGAGTGGTTTTGTTTGTATTTAAAAAATAAAAATTAATGGTGGAATTCATAAAATTTACAATAGACAACAAAGATATTATGAATCATGGTAATTTACTAAGATGTCTGCGAAATACCTGGTAGTAGAGGCTCTTGCTCTGTGTGCAATACTTGTTAGTGCTGGAGAGTAACCAAAAGAATGCCAAGAACCACTAGACCCACTTGAAGGTGGGCTATCTCCCAGATAGCTGAAAACGTTATTGTGGCCACATACCTGAAAAAAATTCCAAATTTCTGTAATTTGTCTAAACACACACTAAATGCAATAAATTTTAACCTGAAGCCCAAATACTCTTAACTGATAAATGACACTGTTGGACCTGTTGGGGTGCCACTGACAGCTTGTGCCATACTAAGCCTGACTTCCCAATATATGGGAAAGATTTGTTGCTCAAAGCTAGGCGATGAAAGAAAAAGGAACAGGAGTTCCTTTGTTAATAGAAACAGGAGCTAGAAGTTCTCAATTAGATAAGGTGGATTCCCTTGCCAAGCCCCAGCAGAGTGGGACACCCACACTCCCACCTAGGTTCTGTAACCAGCTTCCCACCAAAGCCATTAAAAATTATCTGCAGAGCAGAAAAATGGAGCCGACTAAATGTAAGCAGATACGTGCCCCTCCTGTAATGTGGCCAGTGGGCAAAGTAGACAAGGACATGTCCCAGAGAGTGGGGGAACTAGACTTTTTGCAACATTTGAGCATCTTCATTCTGGAAACTGTCACGATGACTTCATTTCCACCTTTCTCTGCACTGAGGTGTGTCAGCGTGCCTCGTTGTGCTCCGGGTTTTCTCGTGTTTTCACGGTCGCTCTTACGTGCTAGAACTTTAATTTGTGCCATCAATCCTATATGATACATCCCTCTAGCGCCTGGAACCAATCTTGGGCGGAAAACATTATATACCGAGTCAAAAAAGGAGAATTAGTGTGCACTACCTAGCAGAGTTTACTGCCAGAGGGGAATCATAGGCCTGTGTGCCGTGTGCAAAATAATAGAACTTTTCTTTGTCAGAGGAAAGAAAGTCTCCCTGATAACATTGTATATACACAGTGCATAGTGTATACTACAGTGGCTCCCTAGTATATAGATGATAAAGGCTAAAGTGTCATTTGAAAACAGGTGAATTTGTAAATGAAGTGATAAGCCTATAGAGGCAGGTGCCATAAGTCGCCAGAAGCTTACCACAGAGGTCAGCTGTTTTAATAATCTTCCTGGCCTGCTGGTGTACTTGCATATAATCTAGTGATACCAGTGAATAGCAGAATACAGTGTTGTAGTAGATCAACTAACCATATTATAATGTACTTAGTGGAGTGAGTGACTTTCATTAGTTTCCTTTTTCTGAAATACCAACTATACTTTGGAATTTTCATATACCTGTAGTTACCAGCGGTTGCAATATACACTAGAAGCATATTACTACAGAAAAAGTGTCCTTCCTCCAAAATTTTTCCACCATCAACTAAAGTGATAATATAGCTTTTGTGGTGGAGACGAAAAAAAACCCTAGAAAAGCTAGATACATGATTGATAAACAAGGGTTGAGGCTCACCGTTCGTCATTGTAGAATGCCCAGCAATCACCGGTTCTTCAACACGAAAGTTATACTCTGTGTCAATCAAATCATCATTACCGGGTAATAATTCCAGTAGATCCATCATGTGATAGCCCAAATCACCGACCAGTATGTTTTAAATAGTGACCCACTGATTCAATCAAGATGGGTCCAAACCCTCGGCTTGGGTCCAACCCTCGGCTGGGTCCGAAACCTCGGCTGGGTCCGAACCCACGCTGGTCCGGAACCCTTGGCTGGGTCCCGAACCCACCGGCTGAGTCCGAACCCTCGGCTGGTCTGAACCCTCGGCTGGGTCCGAACCCTCGGCTGGTTCGAACCCTCGGATGGGTCCGAACCCTCGGATGGGTCCAACCCTCGGCTGGGTCCAACCTCGGCTGGGTCCGAACGGATTCGTTTGGACAATAAAGCAGACTGTAAACGGATGTGGTTGAAGGCGCCCTTATCAAACACAATAAATATAATCAGAACCGTACACCGGTAAGCTGTCCAATATACATGTACAGTTTAGAAATAGAATACAAATAGCTAGAGCTTCATTTAAGGAGGTTAAATATAGAGATCAAGAGGTTGCAAGTAGAAATACGGTAATCAACCATTCAAATCATATGAAGCTCTGTTAGTCAGCATCAATCAAACAAAACGGGCTTCACATGAATAAATTGTCATTTTTGTGGAAATTGGTGTTCCGCCCCTTGTGCCAGATATCCAAGAACTAGCTACAAGCAGTATTAAAACAGGAAGAGTTTTTGGGTATGCCCAAATGAGAAATCTGTTGGACAAAATCACAAGGGTATAAAAGAAAGAACATCAAACTTGCTTTCATAAAAACCTGAAAGCTTTCTACAACAGATGGGAACATAAAAAGTCTGGGCTGAATGGTACAGCCACAGACGGATACTGGCCTCTTGAGGTATAGTCAAACTGTAAGGCCTGGAGGTGATGTCCTGGTAGTCAGTAAATGTGGGGGCGATAGTGCTGTCCCTGGGAGACAGTAATGGTGAAGCTGAGTTGCTGTCCCTGGGAGACAGTAATGGTGAAAGCTGGAGTGCTGTCCGTGGGAGACAGTAATGGTGAAGCAGGAGGTGCGTCCTGGGAGACAGTAATGGTAAGCTGGAGGTGCTGTCCTGGGAAGACATAAATGGTGAAGCTGGAGGTGCTGTTCCTGGGAGACAGAATGGTGAAGCTGGAGGTGCAGTCCTGGAGACAGTAATGTGGAAGCTGAGGTTTGCTGTCCTGGAGGACGAGTAATGGTAAGCTGGTGTACTGTAACTGGGAGACATATGGTGAAGCTGGAGGTGCTGTCCGGGAGACAGTAATGGTGAAGCTAGGAGGTGCTGTCCGGAGACCATAATTGGTGAAGCGGAGGTGGCTGTCCTGGGAGACATAATGGTGAATCGGAGGTGCTGTCCTGGGAGACAGTATGGTGAAGCTGGAGGTGCTGTCCTGGGAGACGGAGTAATGGTTGAAGGCTGGGAGATTTTTGGGGGCCCCCCGGGGCCCCCCCCCATTCACCCAGGTAGTCGGAATTATTCGCAGGAAGATTACATAAATGACCCTCATAGGGGACAGGAGCCGTAGTGGGGAAACAAGTTAGTCAAAGATAAGATAAAACCAATATTGCAAACTAGAAATACCACAGGAAATACAAACAAGAGACTCCACTAGCAAATAGTGAGAAATATTCCAAAAACAACTGGTGGGAGCTCCATTTGTTGGTGCTAGGGAGGATAGAAAAAAGACAGGAAAACATGCACCAACAGGGAATACAGTCACAGAAACCCAAGGCAAACGAAACTCAAGCCTGTGCAACAACTATCACTTGTATTTGCAGACATGGGAAAATCAGGGAAAAACAGACTGGACGTGCAACTACAACCAACCTAGAAAACGGCGTCCCATATGACGAACAGGAAATGCAAACTCCTTCCTGTAAGCTTTTTCCACCACCTGAAATGTGTACCTCTTCATTAGCAGGCAAGATTTTGCTACAACTTAAATTGCCAGGCACACCCATCTAAAGGGGACAAAAAGATTCAAAACATCCAGGCCATGGGAAAACCTGGGAGCCACAGCTCACAAGAGGGAGAGGTTTTTTATTGCCAGAAGGAAAAAAAAAAACTGGCAGTAAATGCAGAAATCGTACACCAAATCCAGTCATTCCTGGAGTGGAACCACGAGTCGATGGCTCCACTCCAAACCAACATATACAGATACTTAATGCCAGAAAAAAAATCCCCCCCCCCCAGTACCAACAATACCACCAGTCCGATGACATTCTTCTTTGCAAATATACAGGGTCCCTAAAGCGCACAAACAACATAATACCTTTCATCCGTGGACTGCTTGCAGAGGCAAAGGCATGTTCCGGCTTTCACCGAGACCCACAAAGGATCACTTTGACAACGAATATGGATCCCAGGTTACAACCAATAACAGATGTGACAGTGAGCAGGCAAAAGGGGGGGGGGTTGGCCTGTACATTGCAGTCACTGTTTCACAGAACTGCTTAATGCATCAAAGGATGTAGTGGAAGTTTTAGCAGTAAATTGATAGAGAACCAAAACCTAGTCATTGTGGTAGTCTACAAGCCTCCGGATGCAACATCCCAGCAATTCAGGAACAGACTGTTAAAAAATTGACCTCTGTCTGAAAATCTCCAGTCCTGCACCCACATTTCTTGCTCCAGTGGAATTTCAACTTAAGGAACCTAAAATGGAGAAATAGCAAATAATATTGTTGCAGTAATAACACCAGGAGGCAGCCTGATGAGAAAACTCACACTCACACGAGCTTTTAAATCTCTGCAACAAAATTCAATTTAAACCCAGCAAATAATAGCCTACTAGACTGGAGATACACTAGACCTCATCATCACTAACAATGATGAACTAATAAGAAATTTCCACATATCAAAACAATATACTCAGATCACAACATAATTGAGGTTCAGACATGTATCGCGGAGCCCCAGACCAACATAATGAGATTAGTCACGAGGAGCATCACCACATTCAACATCAAAAACAAGTGGACCAAGTAAATCAAGTCCTACCGATATAAGCTGGAAGATAACTAAGCCAACACAGACCCCAACTTATGCCTAGAACAGATTAATTTGTGGCACTTTGTATGCCACAAGGGCTTATTCCTCTAAGAAAAAGAGGAGTCAGATGTAAATAGAAAGACAGCGCCCCTTTACCGGCGACGGAAAGAATAACAGAGCCTAAAAGAGGTTCAATATATCTTGAAAGGCGTAGGGCGACACTGGTCAGAGAAATAGCAAGCATCGAAACTTAAGCTAAAGGAATCTTATAGGAGTCAGAATCGCGGGAAGAACTAAAAGCCAAACTGAAATCGAAAAGAAACCCAAAGAATATCTTCTCCTATGCCATAAATCAAAGTTGAGAACAACGTCCAGTCTAGGGCCCCTACTTAAACAAGATGGGTCCTACACAGACGACAGCAAGAAAATGAGTGAGCTACACAAGTCCCAATATGACTCAGTTTTTAGCAAGCCCGCTAACCAGACCGAGAGTCGAAGATCAAAATTAATTTTTTATGAGTGCGCCACAGAATTGGTAACACAAGCCTATCCAGTTATCCTGATGCCAACTGACTTCGAACAGGCGATGAAAAAAAT